CTATGGATAGTCTAAACACAGAGAAGAGTGCTAACTCGATTTTTTACCACGGTAATATCGACGAGTCAACGATGAATCCGCGTAAACGCTCTCCTCGTCGCGATAAATTATGCATTCAAAAATGCCTGCCGTGCCTGCTTTTAAATATTTCTGGTTCGTTAACCCTAAACACGCGATGACCAGGCTTCCACCTTGACTCACAGTTATCACTGATTCAACGATCATTCAACCATCGAAAGAAATTCCAAACGAGAGGATCGCGTTCGGTATTTGCAAAGATTTGCAAGCAGATATAGCTTGGTGATTGCAGGCTGGGAGTCTTGGGTGTGTCCCATTCGTGGTACGAATTTAACCTATGCTATGAATCATGAAGGCGGTAAAAGCGTGCGAGTAATCGTGTCAGTGGTCTCACTTACGTTTGCCGACAAAGCGCGATTTATCGATTTATTTCAATTAAAAATTAAAGAACGGTAATTTCTAAACTAAGAAAATAAAACTTGTTCGAGTGTTTCTATGGAAAAAGTTTAGACAAAAATTAGATTCGAGGAAAGCCTGAGGATCTAAGACTCGATTTACAATGGTGATTCGATCACGGTGAGATCTCGATCGGTCGAATATTATACAACAACTCTTTGTTCGTGTCTGCGTTTCGATCTCAGTCACGCTCAAAAAACTGAATAATATTTGAATGAATCGTATCCAGTAGTATGGTCGGTTACTGGTAGCGATTAAATCGATTCTTAGCCACGATACAATCAGAAATTTTAAACGGAACGAATTATTATAAGGATTGTTTCCATACCATTCGACAATATATTCGAATACTCTCTTTGATAGCTATTAAGAGGAGACTTGGAAAATGATTTTCTTTCGTTTTCCCAGCGCTAATGCACGCTATAATCCGTCCTCGACATGAATGATTCGTCTCTTGATGCTAGCCGCTGTATCCACAGGAAATTGAAGTCATTAATGCTCGAGCAAGAGACGAGATACGCCCATTGATCGTCGCTTCTTTCCACACGAACACGAACACTTTCTAGCCGAGGGGTCGAAATGCTTTTCACCGGGATCGGCAAGCGGAAGGCGTTATTATTTTTACGAAAGAATATCGTCGATCAAGGAGGATGGTCCCAATCCTAGGATTATCGTTATTAACCCATTAAGATGCGTGAAACTAGTGCTTTCTATCATGTCGTGTGTCTCCGATCGCGTTTCACGGCGGTTTCTAACGGAAGACTACTCCGTTTTCCACAAAAAGACACCACTGGATAATTATTTTTTCCCCACCGGTGAAACGACGCTTCGTTTTATGCTGGGACGATTTGCAAGGCAAGTTGCAGCTCGGAAAGGGGAAGTGGTCGTTTTACTTTTGTGACGAACCAACTGTCGCGCTCATCCTCCTCCTTGCGAATACTCCGCCTAAGAAAGAAATAATGAATAACCACCAAGTTATTCTCGTTTACGTTTTCGTATTCTCGTTTTCGTATTCTCATTCTCGTATTGCATAACACTAATTAACGTCAATCAAATTCCATTTCATCGATACGACGCCTATTATTAATACATCGCGGAAAAAAAATATCGCCATGCATCGTATTTTCAATCGTTTCTCCGATAAATTTTTTTTATCTTGCTTGTATCGTAACGAATTTTCATCGAATTTGTTCCAAGCTAAACGTGCAATAGATATTTATTCGACGATACACGGTGCTATTAATTATTCATCGTCGCATTCACATTTATACGATCGAATCTTGCGTACCGTCTAATACATTTATGTACACGTATGTATCGTCTCGTTTGATTTCACTCTTATCAATTGTACTCGCTACCTAAATTCTCGTACGCGGTCAACGATGAACTCTTTCAATATCCATTGAACATTCTTACGTATATTTTGCGTCCATTTCCAAGAAACCGGTCTGAAATACACGTTTCCCGCTACCAGGTTTAGATACGCGTCCTCGCCTATCCGCGTCTATCCGGAGATGCTTTCGATTTTATACAATGCTCGGTAATCCAGTCGAAACGATCGAAAGGAGATCGCAAACAAGGATTGCGACGTTTTATTCTACGTCCTATATATCGTATCCTATATACTATATCTGTTAAACAAAAATTTATGATTTGAAGAAAAAGTTGGTACGAAAACTTCCTCTTTTTCCACGAAACACTGAGAAAAGAATAACTCGATCCTGTCGGGTGCCATTGTTTCTGCGATATTGCTAGAACGCGATGGAGAAACCGGTGGTTCGTGAAAGACATCGATTCCATCGGACAGAGGCATTGGTCCCGTCGTTGCTTGCCAGCTAGTGTCCATTGTGAGATCGTGTGCCGTTATGAATCTCTAGTTATAAAACGGATCCTTCGTCTGTCTGAGTTCCATCCCTCTCTCCTTCGTGAAGTGCATAACTGTATCTTTAACGCGGACACACGTGCACCGGTGTGTCGTCGAGGACGGAAATGAGGGAAAACGAGATACCAGAGGAAGAGAGAGAGCTCGAATCCGGAATGATGTTTGGCAACGGGGACCAACAGAAATCTAATTTACAGGACCATATAAAGCGCTACCTCGATCTTGTTGCACCGTTACGTGCTTCGATTCCTCGCGTTTTGCAACGGCGCGGCGTTTATACTCCCGAGGAAGACCTGTCCATGCTCGTGCTTCTTGCACGATTACACTCGCTCGCATGGAAGAAATCCGAGGAAGGATCGTTGAAAATTTTAAAGACTTTTCGCATAGCGGAAACACGATGGATATAAAACGATACAACGATCCAACGAGATACACCCCGTTATCGTTTCTCTTACTTTTAACTTCTACTTGAGATGGGAAACGCGACGCGGTTGTAATTTTGCACCGACGATACTTTGCAATTCGGCAAGTTTATGTTTCTAATGATACGATTACATGGAGGATGATAGCGCACGACGATAAATCCCAACACATGGAAAGTATAAATTTTGCAACGATGCATCGGCCAACGAAACCTCGGATTTTTTACCGAACGGATATTTTATCGGATATTTTATCGAACGGAGTTGAAAGCGAAAGAAAATTCGTTCGTTCTCGGTGTAATAGCGAACATCGAGCGAGAACGACTGGGATTGTCGTGGCGTAACGAATCGCAGCGGGTCGTGAGAACGTTTCCTTGGGACAAGGGAAAACGATTTCGCGTACAAAATCGACACTTCCGCCGGCACGAGTGTATCTTTGTTCTGGCCAACGGACAAAGAAACGCGAAGTCACGGTTACATCGTTGGTGCATACAACAGGCAACTTGGTGCACTGTGAACGAGGCTTTAGGAACTCCGTGGTTGGAATGCCGAGTCGCCGTGTGTAACGGGCATGGAATGCGCGAGAGGAAGTCGTGCGCGCTCGCAGAAATTCACGTTCGATCGGCTGAAATTCAGCCACGCCAGCCTCATTCCCTATGCAAGACGAGGGCCACGGCATTGCTACACGTGCTTTTAACCACGTGATGTGTTTACACGGACCACTAGGAAACGACATAGAGGCGTCGTGATTGTATCCAATGGTGGTCTCGTGATTTATACGCGAATTACAAGTATTCCGTGGGATCTTTTCGAGAAGAATTAATCGAAGAGCTATTTCGAGCTGGACCAATCGAAATAATCACGCGATTGAGATGCAATGACTTCTTACAAATAATATATATTATTATTAAACTAATTAAAGGACAAGCGTGTTTCGTGTAATCAGATCCATTGATTTTCCTCGCCACTTCTAATTTTTCGTTCACATTTTGAATTTCATATTTGAAAAATCTATTTTCAATCCAATAATTTTTCGTTAAGAGAAAATGCCAAATTTGGAATTGAAAAAAAACGAGGAAAGATATTTGATGCGGTTGTCATTGTTACGCAATAGCTTTTACAATGAATCGATTGTACAGTAGCGGAAAGTAAACGTGAACGAACGATTATCTCGTTCCCGTGTTCCCGATTGTTCGATTTAATGGACCGTCCGCAGACCGTTTGCTCTCTTACTGCAAACCGATCGTCTGCTTCTTGCGTTTGGTCTTGAAAAACCTCTCAGACGCTTCCGGAAGCCGGTGGATAAATAAGATCTCGTAAAAACGGGGAACCATGGTCCACGGTATGGATCGGCCTCTTTCGATCGCAACAAGAACGAGATACTCCGCTCTATTATTCGCTCAACCTGAAAGAACATATACGTTTTGAATGCCGCTTTTTATAACATTTATACCAATTACACGCTCCATTTTCACGTCACATGGAAAAATAGTTCGACAAAGAAAAATTGAAAATCAAAACCAAGATCTTTTATACGCCGTGATCACTTTTTCGTTCGATATTTTTATCTTCGTAGCGTGGCTTTCGAATCGCTTGAATGGAAGATTATTCAACGTATCAACAAAGAAAATGCTTAAGCATATAAATAATGAATCAGTTGAGCAAACAAATGTCACTCAAACATCGCGAGACTAGTTTGATCCGAGGAGATCTACATAGTAGACAATTACGAGTCGTTAAAAAATAATTCTATTTAATTAAATATTTCCAGTTGATGGACAGACGTTGCGATGGAAAGTTGATTTCGTACGCGACTTTCTTCTAATTAATCCAATGCGAGTGTGTCCCTGTTTCTCCTTGATTTTTCACTATGAAAACACGGAAATATAAATGGTTCTTGTATGTGTTTAATAATGTATTAACGCGGTCTCTAGCTTGAAACGGTAACGGTGAATGGAATCGAAAATAAGCGTTCCTAGGTGAGAGAGAAAAAATGTTAAGATGCGGCAGGTAATTGGACGCAGGTAATTAACGGATGATAATAACGATAATGATTACGGCGATGACGACGATAATAGTGGTATCGTTGTATTATATCCGTACCAGGAAAGTTTATGCGTAAGTCGCTTCGTTTCTCACATTTCTTTCAGTCAATCGACTAATTTATGGTTACCGTATCTTCTGTATTTTTAACCTTTAGATCATCTGGGAACCTGTTGCAGATGCATCAGCCTGTTGCTACTAGTAAGGGAAAAAGAAGAGAGAGAGAGAGAGAGAGAAAGACAGAAAAGAAAAATACTACGTGCACCGACAAGAAGAGGAAGAGGAAAAAGAAGTGTAGCACGTTGGATCAATGAGAGGCGCGTTGCACGCGCTTTCGCGATAATAAATATCTCGCCATTTATCACGTCAACTGATTACATGCGGCAAAACGTTACCGATTACCATTTTCCGGACAGATCGATTTACGATTTCAGTAATTTTCCCGGACGATCGTTCGTCGCTCACAACTCAACGGTTAAAAACGTTCTATAAAAATCACCCCATTCAAATGATTCGATTGCGTTTAAAAACCGAGGCAAATGCGTTTGTCCCGGCAATTAACGAGGAGGAAACTTTCTTATTAACTTTCTTCGAGGAGGAGCAACCATGGTGAAATTTTTACGCGGCCGTGGCGGAGAATAGAGAAAGAAATTGTCGCGTGTCGGCCGGCTTCTCCAATCGTCACGGTCTATATATCTTAATTTTTAGTTTTTATTGCTCCAACGATCTTTCAACTGGACGATCGACGTGTTTGCGCATCGCGTGCACGCGTATTATATTAGTTTCTAACAATTTAATTTTTTGACATACGTTACGGGAAAGTGATCGATGCGTCGAATGATATCGTCTCGGGTCGTTAAACGTTGAAAATTAAACGAGTTGAAATACTATCTAATATCGATGAGATGTCCCTGAACTACTTTCCATTGGAATGCGAGGAAACTGTGTATTAATCTGAACCGGTCCGTTTAAGAAACGGAAATATAATATTCCGTTGCATCGGTTGCATTGATCGTTAAATGCGAGAAATTACAATATGAACGAGCACGACTTTGAAAGTTGCGAGATTAAATATAAAAACAAAAATACCTGGTTTCTCTCGTTTTAATTACACCAAGAAATTAAGAGGCGTGCGAGTGCGTGAAGTTCAAGTACCCCACAAATTGATTCTAATCTATCGTTCTGGAATCGTGTATAGAAATTTATCATCGTTACACCCGTTATTTCATATCCGGATTATTATAAATATAACTCATGCATGTTCATTAACTCGACTTCAATAATTTACATTCTTAGATCTCGATTGCATATTGCTTTAATAGAGTAATTTCTTTCTCTCATTTTTTTTTATGATCGTGTTTAGTAAAACTTGTTTAGTCGATTTGATTTAAGCTCTTCGTATCTGACATCGAACTTTTGTTCCGAACCTCAGTTCTTTTCTAACTGTAATTCCGTAGATATGCGTACACAGTTATTTATATAGTAGAAATTTAATCAATGCGACTGCATATAAATATTTATCATTGAAAGTAAAACGTGTTTCGAATTTGGCTTATCGTTCACATTAAATTGGAAGAATATCGCAATTCGTTTCGCTTCGAGTAATGTTGGTAGAAATTAACGAGCAATTTATTCTCTCCTATGTGGTAAAAGAATCGTGTTTCTTCGTTAATATATTAACATGTACGATCTAACGGAAGTTCTCAGGAAAACAATCCGATGTTTCCAAAATATGCGTTATTCGTTTATCTTATACTTATTATACCATCAAGTAACGTGAAGAGTATATTAGTATACTTTGTTCCTTGTGATCTAAGAAATAGAGGTTTTGTACTTTCAATCTCTGATAACATTAAAAGAATGTATACTAAAAAATTCAATATTCGTATTCCAATTTCATTTCGCGTTATAAAGATATCAGTTATCGCAATATCGTTTATCTGTAAATAAGATAGCTTCGTTACTACTTTCTACGATTAATCGATATGATAGTTATCTTTCATTTTTCGATTTATAATTATAAAGATAGACGATTAATATTCATTCATCAATGAGAGAATAAGAGAAAAATGCAATAGATTAGCTTAATAGATTATACACGTACTAATGTATATATACTTTGCCGTTTTTTAAATGATAGAATCGATCGAACTAAATTCAAAGAAATTTATGATTGTTTCTTTTCAAGTCCTTTCCGGGATAATTCTGCTTGTTCCTCTCAGATCTCGTCTTAATCAATCGTTCTGTTAGACGAAATGACCTGATCGAAGCTGTACGTCTTATGATTGGCTAGGTAACCAGGCCGTGGAATTGGTTTATTAGCATCAGAGGGCATTAAATTGCTCGGTATATCGTAAGTTGGTATCGAGTTATAAGTTACGTTTAACGAGTCATCATCAAAAGAATCCTCGTGCAATGTGAAACGGATAACAGCTGCACGAGGTAGAAGAAGAAGAAGAAAAAGTAGACAGTGCGTATTTACGTAAATTGGTGCGTATGCCGGCCAATAAAATCATTACGTTGAAATGTAGAATCTATGAGCACGAAATCGAAGCACCGTTATGTTACGTCCAGGATGGATCGAATGGCTAATTTATTTAAACCCGAAATGATAGTCATTTCCATTATCGGTGATTTTATTCCATGTAAAAGAGGATGAATCGTACACGTGTATTATAAATATTTTACGTCGCTTTCAGGCTGCAGAGTATATCGTTACTATTTAAAATTATTTTTTATCTAATTTTCGACGAATCGAAAATATCGATAGAATCAATTGATACATGAAATATCCCTGACGTGAATCAACATCGAATAAAATTTCATTGTATGATTAATAATGATAATAATAATATCGAAACGGAATATTTTCTAGTCGTAGTAGCAAAAAAAATAATGGCGTAAGAAATTCTTATTATTTGTTATACTCGATTGCTTCTGTATCATTAATTTCTTCAAATATAAATAATTACTCGAGTTTGCATTACCGATTCGCACGACTTCTATGTGTGTACATTCATGTAGTTACGCAATACTAGTTCACCGAGTTATTTAGTCACCAATGTGCACAAAACAAAGAAAGTAGTTACCAAGAAGATGCTACTATGACAGTGTTAATTGAATCGATGTAGAAAATTTAACCACGCTTAAGACTTTGCTATAAGGCTAATAATTCTCCTTTGTCGATTCGACCAAGTTTCTTTATCCCACGAAATATTTCATAATTATTATTCATCGCGAATAGATCGTGGAAGAATAATAGTCCTGATTCCACGGCTTGTTTTCTTCTGAATAAAACTCATTCCACCGTGCAAGGGTTTTCATTGAAGAGAACAATAGTACTCCAATGTATTCCACGGTTGTGTATGCAACAAACAGAGGAATAATAACGTCAATGTAATCATTTGCCGAGAAAACGTGCCGAGTGATTTTGCATTAAGAAAAAAAACACGGTATTTTATAATTGCAATAATTGGCACAAAACTAACGATCACCGTTTTTTTTCGCAATGAACATAGACACATTCTTCCGCTGATTTATTAGCAGAAGCTTCTCGTCACATGTGCATATGTATATAAAAGTTACTTGCCCTGATTTGATATTGCGTGTTTTTTTTCGCAATCGATCGTGTATAAATGAAATTGCTCGTTAAGTTTTTTTTCATAAACGAAAATACGTTAGAGAGATAATCAAATCAGCGTTTCTTTAAAGAGATAGAGCAAGGAAGTTCAAACGAGATCGTCATCATTGGGAAATATTTACAAAATAAAAAACATTAATGTCCTATGTTTATGTGAAGTTATCTTCGGTAACATCTTGACCGATCCTTAAACACACCGTTATTTCTTAGATACAAAATCCAGTTTCTAAATTCTAATTTCTAAGAAATATTTATATATAGATAATCAAGCAATATCTAATTTTAAATTTCAATGATTCGTTTGATTATTTCATAATATTAATTTTGGAAAAAATCAAAAAACAATGCAAAGATATTACCTGAATTTCTTTTAAATCACACGTGTTCCGTGTTCAACCTTCCTGATACATAATTCAAAAGGCACATGAAATAAAATTCATTCACGAACTAACACGATATAGATAAAAATTGATTTTCATTGTTGGAATGAAATAAAACTATCACAATTTTCGTTCACTTAAGTTTCGTAAAGGAAGAGACATTCGTTGACGCGATCCGCTCTTTAAGGCGACCGGAGGTTTACTGACACCGGCGCCTTCACCTGCTCGTAATGTAAGCCAGGTTTCAGTTTATCCTGTGATGCGTCACGTAGAGGGGTAGAAAGGACAAACGTGAAGAGTAAGTATTTATATGATCGATATTCAGTCGTTTTCTTACTATATGTACATACAATAAATATAAATCTCGGAATGGAACAGTGGAACTAGCTTTTCAAATAAATCTTGTTCAATAGCACAAAATAATTATATTTATTATATGATTTTAATATTATATTAATATCGAAAATATTATTAATTTATAAATTCAGATATTAACGCTGTTTATTTTAGTAGTTTTTAGTAATTTCTCGTATTTAATTATATTATATCAGATTATCTTAAACATGCAACAATGAAGAATTGTAAGATTTTAAAAATCGATGAATATTATATTCTGATATAGTTAGAAATAGAAGAATGAATTTTAAAATAATTTTATATAATATGCAATTGATTTTTTATAGATATATTAAAAGTTATGATAATAAAATATTAATTCTTATAAATAATAATAAGATAGAAATTTTCAATTCATTCTTCGATTATTTAGTTTAATACTGAATATGACCGCAAGAGTTCGCATGCTACCACGAGATTAAGAATTGGCGGGAAATACATAACGATGATTAAAAAATTCCCATTATTTAAGAAAAAAATTATCGACATTATAAATGGATAAAATTATAAATATATTACTTTACTACAAATAAATCTTTTATATTATTTTAATAAAGACAAAATATAGATTTTATATTGTAAAAGTCTTAAGAATCTTTCACTAGAATCACTAGAATCATTTTCAACATTACCGATCCATCATAAATAAGATTATAATGCTAATTCTATAATTATAAATAACAACCGTAGCCGAGTAAATTATATATGAATACATATATAAATATATAGAAATAAATAAAATTTTAATTTTATTTACTATTATTATTTTAAATTATATGTTCTTTTTATATTCTATCAATTCTAATAATATAATATAAATGATTTCACTTGAATATATGATTTTAATAATTTTAAATTCAGCAAGATTAAGATAATTTAAAATTATAATTATATTTTTGAAGATTTTTTAATACTTGGAAATCACATATATATTCAAAACAATTACCAATTCTTATATATAATTTCTATTCTAATAATTATTACTCAAAAAATTAAAATATTTCATATTATAATATTAAAATAAATAAATTAAAAAATAAAAAATAAATAATACAAAATTAAAAAAAAATCTTCAAAAAATGTATAAACAAAAATATATTATAAATCTATCTACATACTTGCCTATCAATAATATCACACTATAGTTATTCTTGCTCGATATATCCAAACTATCGATACTAGAATCTACTAATTCTAATATCTGACATATAATAATAATTTATACAAGTAATAACGTGATTGATATA